TCGTATGGCAGACCAATTGATCATATTTAAATAACAGATCTATTAATAATTTCTAAAAGTCAGGTCTATTAACCAACACTAAAGGTCAGACCTATAAAATAATTCCAAATGGCAGACCTATTGATCAACTCTAAATGATAGACCCATTAGTTAAATCTAAATAACATACCTGTAACCCACTTCTAAATGACATACCAATGAGTTAATACTAAATGGCAGATCCATTAAGCATATTTAGAAAACAGATACATTAGTCATTTTCAAATGTCAAACCCATAAAACAATTCTAAATGAAAGACCCATTATCATATTTAAATAATAGACCACTTAGTCACTTTGAAATAGCAGACTCATTAGTCAACTTGCAAATGACATACCCATTAATCACGTCTAAATGACAGACTATTAGGCAATTCTAGATGACAGACCCATTAATTATATTTAAACAAATTGAAATAAATTCGGATCTATTAGCCATTTCTAAATGTCAAACCCATTAAACAATTATAAATGACAGACCAATTAGTCAAATCTAAATGACAGACCCTTTTATTAACTCTGAATGGCAGACTCATTAGTCATCTTGTAAGTGACAAACCAATCTGCGAACTCTAAATCACAGACTCATTAGTCAAATCTAACAAAATGACAGACCTATTATGATATGCCCATTAATTAACCTATAAAGGACAGACACATCATAACATAATAACTTCGCTAATAAAGGTCCTACAGACGCAAAATGTGGAACTCGTCTTTTACTCCACAATATGTATGTCTCTTTCATAATAAGTGTTAGCCTTTTACATATTCCCAAATTCCTCAGGGTATGGTTTGTAGTAGTCCTCATTGTCTAACCAAAATAAAAATTTCAACCATATCCACAATTATTATTGTCTTGGTTTTAAAGATAGAAAAATATCAAACACAAGTCCATGAATATTTCCTTTAAAATGTTTTACGAAAATGGAAATTGAAACTTTTTTTTTTTTGTCAAAACCTCTCCATGATGCAGTTTTACTAAGTAGCCTCGCATTATTAAAAGTATAATTTTTTGGTGGACCAGTCAGTTAATAACTTCCTTAAAAAACGTTCTGTAGACATTAAATTTGGTATTTGTATATCACTATACACGTGGCAATAATTCAATTCCTAACTTACAGCACACCAATTCCTTATGGTCAAGATTTTACATACGTAAGACTAAAATACGGTGCATGAATACTTTTCCTATAACAAAAGTTTTACATACAAATAATTTGTATTTGTTCCTTATTCCTTAAAGCTTTGCAGTGTTTTCGAGTCTAACATCCGCATATTCCTCTGTGTTGGGGCTTTAGAAGTAAAAAACTGTAAACCATACTAATATTATTTTATAGATATAAATTTCGTGACTTGTCATTTACATGTCAGCTCTTCTATGTGCCAATACTTTAATTTTATAATGATATATTTATAACGTATAGGAGAAATAGAAAATTATAATACACCAGAATATGGATAAAATCTACTTGTACTCATATATTTTACTTAAGAATCTCGTGTGACAAATTTATTTTTCATTTTTTTTACAATTTAAGAACAACTTTTTTTCGAAGAAGATTATCGTGTACATTTTGTTATTTATAGCTAGACATGTCCACTGTTTTTTATATGTTGTTTTTAGTATCTTTACAGAAAGTCGTGAGTTTACAAAGTTGCAATTCCATAACTTTACTGCTGTCCTACCGGGGGACCAAAACTGAACTGAAAGAAATAAACCAGAAATATGGAAAAATATTACATATGAAATAAGGGAGTAGAAAACACATGGTACTATCCTCTACAACGACATCTATCCCTCATGATTTAGATGAGTTAATACTAAATGAGTTAATGAAGAATGTAATGGTTTCTATTTGCAGTAAATAATTTTTGTATCTCTTAATTCAGTTTGTACATTTATTTATGACTTTTACATTCCCTGCCACCCTTTGTCTTTTAAACTAAAATATTATAATTTCCTATTAATTGTATTGAGCAGTATATTATTATAATTGTTCAAGTAATGGAGAATCACTGAGTGGGTATCCAGAAATTGGGTTCATTAGTGGAGTAGACTGAAAGATGTGTAGAAGTCAGAAATAAAATACATAGAAATGCGAAGAAGCCAATAATTTCAATTTATATAATACGTCTTAATGTCATATATAAATATTTAAGACAAAATATCACTTTTAAAATAAGAACATTGAGCATTGTGTTGTGTTTGATGAAATTTTACCAAAGCTGAGAAAAAAAAAGCATTTCATCAGAAACCAAGACATGATCCCATTCACAAATGTACCAAGAAAAATAAGTGAAAAACGATTACTATTACATCAACAACTCATACATGAATCTGTTCGCAGAGGTATCATGAAAACTAATGACAAGAAATGGCTGAAAATCAATATGATGAACTCAAAGCTGTTCAAGCACCTATGAATAAAAATAAAAACAAATAATATTTGCTGAATAAATTTCTGGATCTAAACTTCGCCTAACCATGATCCCATCAATTAATAATAAGTAATCAAAATACCCTGAGTAACTCAAAACAACAACAAACAAAAGCATAAGTTAATTAACTGACAAAATGAAGGTAAAATTAAAAATGAATGCAGGAAGTTATGAAAAAAACAACAACAACAAAATAGATTACATATGTGTAGAGCGTCTAAATGTCCCTGGCTTAGGCTCGTAAAGTCGATCATGTGATCAGCCCCCCCCCCCCCCCATCATGTACTTTGGAGATTATAGTTTGGCCAAAAGAAAAACTAGAGATCGATACCAACGGACGTGTTGGTATGGTTTTATACCAAAATCGTCTTGCAGTTATAGAAGTCCCCTAGTGGGGGTTGGATCCTCTACGATGAACAGATCAGAGATGGCTCAACGTGCAGCTTTGTTTAAAAGAACAGTAAGAAAGTTTGTTTTCATTGACTGTCATTAAAATCCCGTGAATCGGGGAGGATCATCCATATGAAATATACAATTGAAATGAGTCGAGGAGGACTTCTACATAAATTACGTATCCAATGTTTTGGAAAGGATCCCATACATGAATCACACATTCCAGTGAATCAAGGAGGATCCCTACATGAATTACCCCTGGTCTGAATATTTCACAAGAAACCTAATTTGATTAGTTAGTAATGTCCATCTGATTCTGTAAGAGTATATTCAAGCAGGCTTAAACATTTTAAGCACCAGAGGGATAACAATATTTAAAATTTGCTAATTAAAACATTAGCCGGACTCAAAGGATTATATTTTTTAATGAGGTACACATTTTAAAGGGTCACAACGCCTTATCTCTCCTCCAGGTCAACCCAACTCAGTGCTACTCAAAATCATCCCAGTCTCTAATACTGTTTTAATTATTTCATTAAAAATAGAAGTAAATTCCTTTCACATATCAGAATGGTGTTATATCACTCCTGATTGTAATGCAAGGTTGAAAACACATTATATTGTCTGATATTTCCAAAGATGTCAACCAAACTAAAAGTCAATGCATTCTAACAAATCGTTGCTAATCTGAATACATCGTTTCATAAAGCGTTGAAAGAATGAAGTAGAAAAGGTTGAGAAGTAATTCTGACATTAGAAAAAAAACGACATAAAATAGACAATTTTTGGTCTGCTTATAACAAACTATAAGCTTACTTATGTGTTGTTGTTTCTTCGCGCAAGCAACACAATAGGCTATCTGCGCTTTGTCCACCAAGAGGTATCAAACCTCGGATTTTAGCACTGTAAGTACTTAAGCTTACCGCTGACCCAATAAGATATAGAAATCTATATTGAATGTAAAGTAACGGGGATTTTTTGGAAGTGTCATAAACGCTTTCTGATCTTATACTTTTTGGATTAAATTTATTTTTGTTAACTTCAACGTTTTTATTGTTTTTCTAATTTACTCTGTCTCCTTCTTTTTTAAATGTCCTAAAGATGAAAGTGCAAAATGCAAAAAGGTTAAAATCATATTTTATTGTTAGTATTATCAAACTACATTTTTGTTTTTGATTGCTCGTAAATAATCTAAATGCATAATTTTGTAATTATCAGAAAACTACTTGTGATCCTATCCAATATTTTGTATATTGAAATTAGATGCTTGCATGCTATTGTAGTCAATACAAGATCTCTTATCAAATAATGCATTTTTTTGTGATTAGTGTTAAAATATCTATATACCATTTCATAGAAAGTAACTTGAAACATATTTTTAACATTGACAAGTGTAAAATTGGCTGCATGCATGCTTTAATAATGAATAAAAAACACTTTTAAAATCACCACTTCATAAATTTCAAATTAGGATATTATTGTGATGAGGTCCTCGGGTGAGTCAGCGATAAACTTATGGAGTTACAACGCTAAAATCCAAGGTTCGAATCCCACACTGTACAGAGTGCAGAGTCCATTGTGTAGTTTTACGCAAATTAAAACAAAGTATGATGATTTGTTTGTTTGTAATTAAGCACAAAGCTACACAATAGGCTGTCTGTGCTGTGCCCACCACGGGTATCGAAACCCTGTTTTTAGGAAGTATGATGAATATGAAATCATATATGGAAATGCAGTTGTTTTTAAGAGAAACTACTTGTATTATCACCATTTTGATGAAATCATCTACACGCATACCGGTTCGCCGAAAATCATTTAGTATATACATATGACTATGCATAAGTACTCACGTTCTTCTAACTTCTAGAACTGACTGATTTTAATGCTATATTTACCTTTTATTCAGGAAAATAAAACCCCACTTTTCACATTCTTCTTTAAGCTATTGTAATCACAGTTTTCTGAAATCAAGCGTACATAACACGCACTATTATTCCTAACTTCAGAAAACATAAATTCTCTTAGGAAACGACCTCATGAATGATGCTTGGTTTCTCCGCAAGGTGTCGGAAGAAAATATTTGTAACCAATTTCATGCAGAGCTCCGAGTTTTAGCACGCGAGAAAGAGGAGAGCAGGGAAATTGGTTGATAGTCCTGTTTTGAAAGATCCCTTATGTTTTATCGATTGAAAGTAAGGCTAGAAGTTGGTTTCTGCCTTTAAGGCTTTTAGAGCTTGACTACTTGCAAATTTGTCATACAAAGCCGTGTGTTTATTTACGGATAACATCAGTTTCCACGAACGTCTAAATATCCTACATCTGGTATTATCATAGCTCCGGTAAGCTATTTGTGTTCTGGTTTATAATGTAAGTTCGCGTAAGTATGGATTATAATGAAACTTTATCCAATAACCGAAGCCAGGAGTAATAAAAACTAAAGCGAAGATAGGGTAAAAATACACCGTGAAACCTTAACTTTAAACGCGAAGTACAACACCTTAATTACCTGAACTTTAAACGCGAAGTACAACTTAATTACCTGAACTTTAAACGCGAAGTACACCTTAATTACCTTAACTTTAAAAGCGAAGACATCTTAATTACCTTAACTTTAAACGCAAAGTACAACACCTTAATTACCTTAATTTTAAACGCGAAGTACACCTTAATTACCTTAACTTTAAACGCGAAGACACCTTAATTACTTTAAATTTAAACACGAAGTATAACACCTTAATTACCTTAACTTTAAACGCGAAGTACACCTTAATTACCTTAACTTTAAAAGCGAAGACAACATCTTAATTACCTTAACTTTAAACGCAAAGTACAACACCTTAATTACC